AAAGGCATGAATCCATCTCCTTGCCCAGAGTATGGGATAAAAAGTAGGAAGAAATATTCAGTTGCAAAACAATGAAATTAATTTTTATTACAATCCAGGATAATCCGGCTTTAAATAATCCTCAAATGGTTGAAGAACTGCAAAAATTAAATCAATTTACTCAGTTTTATTTGTGATAAGTTTGGTAGTTAAAGCGGTGTCTTGCTGTATGACATATACGACTTACGATGTACGCTTGGGATAAACGAATACATTTATATTCCGTACATGCAAATTATGGGATATTCTCATCAATGATTTTTCTTTTTCTGGCCATCCGCTTGTTTTTTGGGGTTTTTTGCTTTTGAAACTGCAGAATATTGGAAATTTGTGGCCTTTTTTGGACACTGTTGAGAACGGTGCCTTCCCAATTTGGATTCTATATCATGCATACTATCAAAGGATTCTTCACTCACGTTTCTCTTGTATCAGATCACTACAATAGACCATGTCCGATTGTCATTTTTAATATAAGATGACCACAAATCGACACTGGCGTTTGTTTTGGTATCGATTTCTGTTGGGTTCGAGATTGAAACCTGGCATTGTTCAGTTGATAATTTAACCTGTTTGAAGACTGACATTTTGTCCAGTAATCAATGACAAAGATTGATTATGAAAAGTTGTACTTTCGCCATGAATTTCGGAAAGGAGTAAGCGAATTCCCGACATCGATAAAGACACTCTGCTTACCATCGTGAAGAGTAAACCGAAGATTTCCAGGGAAGAGATTGCTAAGAGTTTGGAAAATCGATGATAAATAGAAAAGGTGTTATATCCACCAGGACAAAGCAAGACTTTGTTACAAAACAGATATTGCATAAGCTTAAAGAGTTGAAAGATTCCTCGATCACCGAACGTATTCTCCTGACTAGGCACCTTTGGACTTTCATTTGTTCCAGTCTCAACAGAACTATTTAAATAATAAAGCAATTGACTCTGTACAGTCAGTCAAAAAAACATTTTTCAGCAGCTTAAAGTTTCTAAGAAATCCTTGGTAGACACAGAAACACATATTTTTATGCATGAATAACATGCGGTGATGCGTGCGAATTTATTAGTGTCGTTTTTATAAGATGGCTTTTTAATGTAAAATCCTTGTCATTATAAAAAGATTTTAAATTATATTTCAGTTCGGGATAGACGAACATGTCTCTCTACAGATTCCGTTTTATTTATTTATTTATTTATTTTTTTTTTTGCTTATTTCAACTGTCATAAATTATCGGAAAAAAACTGTGGAATGGTTTCTCGATGGTTCTAATCTCTAGACAGTCTACTACCCAAGGCTACAGAATCCAGTCTAAAAATTAAACATAGATTGTTCATTTGACTTCCGCACCGATAGCTGGTACACTACCTGCCCTTCTTATAAAGCAATTAAAACACTGTAAATAGTCGGTTCCTTGAATACAGTGTGATTTCTTTCAGAAATTGTAGGATATTATATGAATGAATGTAATGAAAGTTTTTTTTCATATTGGTTGTTTAGTAAGTTTGTTTAATGGTATGTCAAACTTTATGGGTTATATATTGCCTAAATCTAAATATTTTGAACAGTTTTACGGCTTCAACTAATTTTTTGAACGCAATTGTATGCCTTCAACTACAGAAAAAAATATATATAGAGAGAGATCACTTTTTCTTTTATGCATGTTTTGAAAAATGTGAGAATGAAAATATTATTTATGATTTGGCTTCTCTAGTTTTTCTTTTGTTTTTGTTTTTTTTTAAATTTTTATTGACGACTAAGTGAATGTAAAAAATGTCTGTAGAGTTAATTGCACAAAGTGTTTTCGGCTAATTCATTAACCAATTTCAAGGAGTCCTTTGAAAGTATGTTTTGTCATTTATGTTCTAAGCTATGTTGTGTTGAAGTTGGCATTTCATGTTCCGGTGCATTTAGAACACTACTAACACTTTCGGAAACATGTTTGTTTTGTGAACAAGTTTTGGTTTTTGGTGCACCTGACCTAGAACGTGTTTCAAAGGCACGTCGGTACAGGCGCAAAAGAGCCTACAGATAACGTGTGAGCATGTTTATCAACACCAGTTACATCTGGGTTTCCACCGCTAGCAGCGGGATGACTTGGCGTGTTCAGATACAGGCCTCTTTGCAACTGGTCAAGATCCGGATCTTTGTAAGAGGTTTCATGCTAATATGTGCAACGAAAAACCCAAATCAAAAGTCACCGCTTGGCAAAACATGGTGTCTTGTGAAGTCGATATCGAGGCCACTTTTTCCCCCTAAATTTGCTGTGTTTTCGGGGACTGTCATTTTGGTTTCTCTCTCTGCTTATTTCCCCCGTAGTTGGTTGGGAGAGCAATCAGTTAGGGGTTTCCTTCACTATATACACACTCTCTTCTTACATTACAACAGAACGTTTTACACATATGTGTGTGTGCAGCTCTTAAAAAGTGGCTGTCGTGTATGCACAACAGAAAGAAAAGTACTCAACACCATACAATAGAGCTTTTTTGAAAAGCTCTACTTTATTGTATAGTAAACCAAATAATCACCTGGAAGGTGTACACAGTCCGACCACTACTATAAGCAATCGTCAGGCGGTCGGCGGTAATTCGAAAATGGGATCATTTATACCTCCAGTAAAGACTAAAATAGAAAAACAATATGGATGGTGTTCGCGCACCGTACATAAATCAACCAGTCTTACATGGAGGGGGAAAGCACCCATCCGGCCAAGATCAAAATAAATCTGTAAAAGGCAGTTATACCCCACTAAAATAAAATCACGCCATTGGGTCAAAAAGTGTTCAGTGCCACAGAGAAACCCTTAATAAACGTAGATTTGTCAAAAAAGTATCCCTAACAAGATTTATTCTATTCTACTGACAAAGTTTGTCTGCTTGAATTTGTTTGTATCTTTATAAATTAAGATTTTCATCAGGAACAAAATTATGGAAAGACCTTCTGAATTTTGGGATTTGTTCTGTAATTGTTTCTCTTCTTACTAAAACCTTGGTGTTGTTAACGTGTTAAGCAACATGTTAGCTATATCTTGATATTTTTTGAACGGTGAGATCAAAATTAATTCAAATTAAAATATACAAAACCGCACGACAAAAGAATGTATCAAGTAGTTATACCTATTATAATAAGAATGTATCAAGTATTTATACCTATTATAATATAATAATAATTTGATGTGCCTATTAAATCGTTTTCGCACACTTTATCCCAAGAGAGATATTTTGTTTATTGAGCGTTGTTACTTTTGTATAATAACTTCTAGTATTTTGAGTCTTTCCTTGAAAGTGCTGCATCAGGAGTCTATTTGCCTAGAACACCTAGTGAGACCAGACTTCATCCAAGATATCAAGTGGAACATATGTACTATCTGTTGCTAACTTTGCTGAAAAAATAGTCGGTATGCTCAATTTCCCTTCTATCTTCTTTTTACAAGACCAGCAATGGATTATTGTTGCTATATCTAGGCAAGAACTAACAAGTCCGTATTTGTCTGTCTTTATAGTGTTAAACAGAGTCTACGTGGCCCTATGGATGACGAATTATTTCCAACCCGACAACCGATTTTAGACGAAAACGTCTCACGTTATTACATCATTATTTCCATGACATTTTTTCATTTTTTGATTCCAACATTCCTAACTATTGCAACTGGAACCCGATCTGCTACGTCCACAAGGATGAATCACCTGAATTCATTTAGTAAGAATAAATTCCATTTTGACAGCTTTTTACCAAATGCTGCTACTTTGAGGAATAGACTCCCAACTAAATGTTTTCCCGATCACCACAATCTTGACCACTTGAATTCTGGGGCTAACGGTTACCTTTTCTATATGACCTAATGAACTCTATTCTTGCCTTTTCGTACGCTGATACAGCACAATAACCTTCTACCTTTAGTGGCTCTTGGGCCTTGAATTAGAACATTAGTATAAAATATATTGATACTTGTATTTTGATTGTGTTTACATGATGATGGATATGTGCCTGAATTGCCCTAAGTCTCGACAAGTGACGGGTCACCTTACCAGAGTGTAGTGTCTGTATGAGCGATGTAATAATTTTATGTTGTTTTATTATTTGATATCGGAGACGCCATCTCCCAAAGGACATAAGAAATCTTTAACTACAATGTTTTACAAGGGGTGGAAATTATTCCATGTCCAGAGTTGGGCTAAGATAGATGTTTTAAAATATTTATTGTAAATGAAAAATCTAAAGCAATTTCTGTGATGACTAAACCCGGTGATTGGTAATAAATGAGTCGTTCAAAAGTAAGTGAAGAAAAACAGAACAAAAGATGAAATTTCAATCAGTTCATCCACAATAGTGATCCCGATTTGCAGCTTATACAAAAAGAGATAAAATACAATAAAATCATAATCAGACAAACCATGCAGTAGAGTAAGCCGTTTCCAAATTTATGGCGGATTGTATTGCATCATTGTTCTTTTTCTCATAGATGGTGCCCAACAGAACCTCCTAGTTGACAAAATCAAAAACAAACAACGCGCATGCGCGAAATTAAAAATATAAATTGGTGACAATTTACCCATCGCACCTGTGTATTTTTATACACAAACATACACACACACATATATATATATATATATATATATATATATATAAGATTCAGATGTAACTGATTTTCTTATTTTCAATCATCAGAATTAATCCTTGATTATTGATCTCTCACTTTATTTTAGATTTTATTTTTCAAATTTCATTTTGTATTCAGGCAAGTGATTGCTTCAATTTTTCGAGGTGACTCAAGGCAGGATCTCTTGGAGATTATTGAGCCACATTATTACCAGTGTATGCACACACACACACACACATCCATCTGCTATCGTCTCAATCATTTATCTTTCATTTATCTATGCAAATAAACAGATATGATTCGTTAATGCCGAGAGGGACGAACTGTAATTATCGGCAACAAACATCATTATTCATTAAATATCTTGCAATGTTATTTTCATCATATTCACTCGCTTCAACTTGTGTAGATCACCTCTCTCCTTTTCTCTTCCCTCCTACTGTTACTTTGCTTTCTACTTCTCTTCTCTTACTTTCTATCTTTCTTTCTTTTTCTTTCTATGCTTGTTTACCCACCCACTTTCTCTTTATATATTCTACTACGATGTTTCTTTTTCAACTTCTCTCTCTTCCCACTCTAACTGCTCGTTTAACATCTCTCCCTTCCTATATCTCGCTCTTCACTTTCGTTCTTTTCTCACCTACAACACCGTTTCCGCTCTCTCTCGCTCTCTCTCGCTCTCTCTCGCTCTCTCTCGCTCTCTCTCTAACCGGTTTTGTCCTCTATTTTTTTTCATAATAACCCCGTCTAGTATTCAATTCTCTCTACCTTTTTTCTCTCTTTCTATCTTTTTCTAATACGCCGTCTCATTTTCTTTTTCTCTTCTTCCTCAATTTCATCTATTTTGTCTCTTTTGTCATCAAATCTCACTCCCCCCCTCTACAATTTTACTGCACGTTCTCTTTCTCTTCATTCCTCCCCAACAGTGCCTATTCGTCCCTCTTCTTTCTCCAATTGTTGTTTTCATTCCCCGTGATCCGCCTTCTTTCCTTTTTTGTCTTTTTTTTTTCTTTTCTCTTCAGTTTACGTCTCGTTTCCTTCTTTTTAGATTTATTTCGCTTTTTATCCATCCCTTTATTTACGTGTTTACCAAAAGCCGACAAAATAACAGCACTCCGTGTAAGAACAGTTTTTTTTTTTTTACTTCCCGGCCTCCTTAAACCTCTTTGAACTGTTCACCATTGCCATGAAAAAGACACTGGCCCCTGTCGTCTCCAGATCCAGCAAGATAAGTCATAGAGCAAAAAGGAACATATATCAGAGATATTAAATACAAAACAATCCCTTGGTGCATTATTATGATCCCTCTTTCTTTTCACCCTCGCTCTTCTCGCACAGAACATCTTACTTCTGTTATAATTTCTTCCATTTTAATCTCTACTCTATTTATATATCTTTTCTTCGTTCTCTTTTATGCCAACGCAGAAATCTTGGTCATGCCTGTCTACTTTGAATTCTCTGTCTCTATAATCTTACATACTTTGTGATTTCCTTAAGACTTTTCTATAAATGTGACTTTCCAGACGAATAAAACCTAATAAATACTTACTTCGATTTCTCATTTTCTTTATCAGAAAAGTCAACATCACATCAATCACTGTCTTTGGTCTATTAGTTTTTATAGGTTTGACAGTATGAGATGTAAAGTCCCAAAGAATAGTTATTTCATGGCCCATTATCAGTGAGTGAGATAAAAAAAGCACGCCAACCAACATACGCTGGGAGAAAAATATACAAAAACCCAATATAAGCGTGTACTAAGCATATACATCACATACAAATACGTGCGATATAGTGATGCTTGTCAAGCGCCATGTATTTCCATGTCTGTTTTCACTATAAGGTTAAAAATCGAAATCTTCCGCGAAGAATTCATTGGATGAGGCACAAAATCATTCTCCTATGTACCGAATATACTTGAGTATAATGTGAGTTTTTTAGTACAAGAAATAGGGCATCGTGCTATAAACAAGTAATATTTTTGAAGAGTTTAAAAATCATGTCTTTTCAGTGACCTGTTGCAATGTACGCAAGTAATTATTTTACTGAAAAGGTTAAAATTCTTGCAAAGAAAATCAATGGTCACACTATGCGGATTATACACGAGCATTTATGGTACGTGTTTTGTCATGGATAATTAAGAATTACTGCAGTAAATATCAATAAATAAGTATCACTAATCTGTTTGTCAGTTGCCTGACCATCACCAGTATGGCATGTTCTCTTGGGAACTGACACATTGTGCATCTCTGATGATTAGCGGAAGAAATATGGCGAGAATCGTAGCTGGTTTGCTATATTGTTGTTTTCTTTTTATTTGAAGGACTAGCAGCATGGCCCGGCGTTGCCCGTGCGTGATTCAAAAATCGTACGACTCATACAGCAATCGCTATCACTTGACTTAAAATATTGTTGCCCTTCCTTGCCTTTAAAGGAGTGCCCTTTGCCGTGCTGATGTTGCTACATGCCTTACTTCTTACCTATCTCACACTGAGAATTTTTTCTAAGCTTTATACTAAACATTAAATCTGTTACGAAAAAAGAACTAAACAAAATGAACACAAAACGATCAGCTTTAAAATAGGACACGTAACTGGAAAAACCGAATCGAAAAAGAATGTTAACAACAAATACTTTTTCACACCCAACCCAGTTCTTCGGAATTATAATCAACGTTGAGTTTAAGCAAGCGAATGAGCCAATTGGAGTAAAGTGTCATGCAGATTTAAATTTTTCCCATTTGTGACGAATGCAGCTATCGATTTTTTTTTTTTTTGCATGCTAGTATGTTAGTTATCATTCGTGTCACTCAGCTGTTGGCTCTCACGCTGGCCAATAGAATATTCCTACCTATTCGTGGCAGCAATCTATTGGCTCTCAATCTGGCCAGTACAAAATGGCCGCAAACAACATTAAAAGTACCGTAGAAGCATGAAAATATCGATTATTTTCACTATCGATGGATTCGCATTCCCTCTAACTTGGAGCATGTGCATGTAAAATTTGGTGCAAATCCGTCGAAAATTGCGGCCGTGCATTCGTTACACGCACGCACGCACATCCTGCCTTTTATAGATAGAGATTCGGGAGTCAATGTGATTTGGTAATCACATATACAAGGCGTTGCAGCAAAATCCGACACTTGACAAAAAGAAAACGAAATAGGCTATAAAAACGAAAGTTGTATATGCAGATACCCGACAGTTTGACAACGAACTAACTTTTTCCCCTTTACCTTTTCCAGCGGTAGTAGCTTCTTTTCGCGTCGGGAAGAAGCCTGTGGAAGTGATGGCCTGGTTTGGGTTCAAGAGGACCATTGTCATGGACATTTGGAAGAAGTGGAAGGCGTATGAGAACAAGGACGAGTTTACTGCCAAACGAAAGGCCCACAACGTTCGTTCTTCGGTCGTTAAGACTGACGAGATCGTCGACGTCGTCAAGGAGACAGTCGACAATGATGGAAGCCAGAGCTACGCCAACATCGCCGCTGACATGGTCTGTCACAATTTGACGATCTGCCGAACGAATCAAGAAGGACATAGGTTACTCCTCTTACCGCAAGTCTCACCCTATGCTCATCACGAATGCTTTCAATGAGTCTAGGAAGGTCAAGCCTGCGGCTTTGCTGAACGAGCTCAAGCACGGGTCCGTAGGGATGCTGAGGTTCATCTCTGATGAAAAGAATTTCATCCAATACCAGACAAGCAACAGGCAGAAGGACAGTTGGATCTGCAAAGACATCGAGCAGATTCCCGTCGTGAAGCATACGAAGTTTACCTCCTCCGTCATGGTCCGTCATATCTAGCATGGGGGATATCATGCCCCCGTTCTTCTTTCAAAAGGTCTTGAGAGTCACCGCTGAGATCTACAAGGAGGTGCTGAGGAGCATGATGAAGCCCTGGATAGACGAGATCGCCGCCGGACGCTCCCTACGTCTTCCAGCAGAACTCCGCTTCTCCACACAAGGCGAAGACGACCAAGGCGTGGCTGCTCAACAATGTTCCTCACCACTGGTCGCCGGACTTGTGGCCGCCCTCCTCACCTGACTGCAATCCACTTGACTATTTTTTGGGGGCGTGGTCGAGACCAAGACCAACAAGCACGCCCACAACACGGTCGAATCTCTGAAGGCTGCCATTGTGGAGGCATTCGCCGCTATAGACAAGAACATAATCGCCAAAGCGTGTGACTCTTTTCGCTCTCGTTCTGAGATGGTCGTCGCCGTCGCCGCCGGTGGTTACATTGAAAAATAATGTAGAATGTAACTCTAACCGTTGCTAAATAAACTATCGGGTCTCTGCATACACGACTTCTGTTTTTATTGCCTATTTCGTTTTCTTTTTTTCTAGTGTCGGATTTTGCTGCAACACCATGTAGAAACTTGGGAACGGAATATCTCACAATGAACAGAGTTTCACGCCTTAAAGTAATTCCAAACTTAGCGCATAAATTTGCAAGTTGGGCTTTTTTCATCAAAACTCCGACTTATTGAACCTATTTGCCTTTGATGCATGCGTATTCCTTTTAACCTCTTATCAAATTGTTTGGCAAGATGAGTATATTGAGCTTTTTATGTTTGTATTCCAGTGTCAATTTCTTTAAGAGAGGGCATTTTCACTCAATAACTTGAACTGATTAAAAATAAAACTAATTGTTTTGGGGTTTTTTTCAGTTATGCCTGTAGGGTTTACTGTGATAACGACAAAAAAAAACTCTTGTTGCAAGCCGATAAATAATAAAGTAAAATTAAGCACAAGCGTTGTATGACAGATTTTAATTTTTACGTTCCTTGATATGTAGGATTACGGCCATATCACGTTGAAATATCGGTTCTCATACGATCACCGAAACAACGTAGAGCCTGACTATTACCATAACGTTCAAAAACTTATTTTGCATTTCTCTTTTTCTAACTGAAAATTAAATCAGTCATTTTTAAAGGAGATCGAAGATTTTTTTTAAAATATTCTTAACACTGAATAGTACAAATCATATAGTCTTTATTATTTCCAGCAGCGGATTCAAGGGTCGGGGCGTAGAAGGTTCGCCCTGCCTTAAAATTTCTGGGGAAAATGTTTCGTTCCAAAGTAGATGAGGTAAGGTAATACAGGGTGGCGTAGAAATAACCGAACTTAAGTCAACATAGCCATAAACTTGAATCTAATCTTATGAAAAAATATCAGTTAAGCCGACCCCAACATGACGATAAACTACATCCGACAGCCAGGCCTCTGATTAGGAAGTTTTGAGGATCGTGAAACCAACTCTTAGTTGCTGTTTTTCCCAGGTCCATCATGATCCTGGGTAGTAGTACCTGTTTGGGTCTAAGCTATGGGAAATAGTTAGCCTCCAAACTGGTGTGAAAACACTATGAAAGTGTAAAAATAGGTTTTAATACCAGCAATACTTTTCTGGAAAAGAATATTACCTGCAATACATTTTTTTTTAAATATTGCAAGCAATAAAATTTTTGGAAAAAAAAAGAAATATTACCCTAAATACATATTTAGAAAAAATATTACCAGCAAAATCTTGTCGGCATTAATTAACCCATTGAGGTTGATATACCGTAAAACAAAACAAAATGAGATAAATCAAAATGTGAAAATGATAATGAAAATAAATCAAAATTTGAAAATGGGCAGCTATAATGAAAAAAAATATTGTAATATATTATTGTTAATACATTTTTAGATTCGTTTTAACTACTTTTTACTCACGGGAACTTATACCAGCTGAGATGAGGTATTATGATTACTTGTATTATTTGGATTGATATCCCTCTTCATTGCCATATTCCCAATGTTTCGGCCGTTGTATGCTCCGGACTTCTTCAGGTGATTTGAATTTCGAACCGAACCCTTTATTTCGTCCACCGGGGTAAATTTTCCTGCCTCTTTCGGATTCATTCAGTTATTTCTCTTCAACTCAGCTCTCCAAGGTTTTGGTTCACCACTGCTATGACGTGGTATTGAACTATTTGGGTCTAGTCACTGGATCTAACCAGCGTCTTTATCCACTGGGCTCTGTGTCCTTGAGAACATCATGTATGGATTCCTGAGACCTTTAAACCTAATGTTTCAGCAACATTTTTTCCAGAGCTTATATTGCAATTTTTATTTGTTATTCATTGCTTCTTTTTTCCTCCATATTACTAATATATATATATA